GCCATTATTGATAACACAGCTTTTAGAGTTAAAGTAAAAAAGAGTTAACCATTTACGAACAGATGAACCAAAATTGAAACTTCCTAAAGCTTTGTCTAAAAAATCCCACTTAACCGAATCAAAGGCCTTTACAAAATCAAGAAGATACAATAAACCATGTTTGTTGTTTTCCTCTAAGAAATGCATAACATCATATAATTGCCTAGTATTAACCCCTATAGATCTTTCCTTAATAAACCCTGTCTGTGTTTCACTTATTATCGATGGTAACACACCCTTAAACCTGTTTGCTATGGCAGCTGAAACAATTTTGTAATCTACATTTAACAATGATATTGGACGCCAGTTTTTTATATATCTTCTATCTTTATTTTCTTTAGGTATGCATGTTATTATTCCCTGTGATTGAAAGTCAGACAATTTTCCTACCGAACATGCATAATTAATCGACCTACAAACCAGTTTACCTAAATCTTTCCAAAAAAATTTATATATTTCTACATTGAACCCATCCGACCCAGGTGTTTTCCCATTTTTCATATTCTTGAGAGCTTGGGACAGTTCTCTAAGTGTCAGTAGCCCTTCACATCCCTTCTTCTGCTCTTCATTTAACTAAACATGTTGAAAAAAGTGGAAAAATCAAGTCTATGTGAATCTTGAACATGAGAAGAATAAAGTCTTTTATAAAAGGATGCCTCTTCATTTAAAATGTCCTCCGGCTTATCTATAATATTATCACTATCAGATATTAATTCAGTAATTGTTTTATTTATATAATTCCTTTTTTCTAGACGGCAAAAATATTTTGAGTTCTTTTCCCCATATTTGTACCAATTTACCTTTGATCTAAAAATAAGACTCTCTGTTTTTCGTCTACGGATATTTTCTAATTGATTTTTCTTCCCTTCCAGAGCTTCATAAACTTCACTGCTTGGCTCAATGTTAATTCTTTCTTCTAATGTTTCAATTTCTGATTCAAGATTTTTTACTTCAATTTTTCTTGCTTTTGATCTGGCTATAGAATAGGCAATAGTCATAGTTCTGAGTTTCATTTTCAAAATTTCAAATAACATTTGATCATTTGTTCTGAAAGTCACCTCCTCCAACTTCTCCCTATCACCAGAAACATAGTATTCATCTATTGTCTCATTAATGCATATTTTCACTTTTTCAATATACTCCCCATCTTCCAATAACTTTGAATTATGTTTCAAATATCCCTTACCTCTAGGAGGGTTGTTAAAATTTAACTGAATAGTAACACAAGAGTGATCTGATTTACATCCTGGAATTATATTAGTATCTTTTGTCCTAGCATATATCTCTTCTGACACTAGAAAGTAATCTAACCGACTCTGTCTAACAGGTGTTTTTCGCCTCCATGTAAAGGCCTTTGACTCGGGGTTAAAACTTCTCCATGGATCGACAAGATTACAATCATCGATAATATTATGAATAGCTTGCCTACATTTTGGGTTATTATTTCCAATAATGTTACATGTATCCAAATTCCTATCCTGTACCGTATTCCAATCACCACATAATATTAACGGATTATTTTCATTGTTAAAAGCCTGGATGGTGTCTAATAAATTACTGTAAAAATTTAGAGTATCATGGTTGGGACCATAAATATTTACAAGTATGAATCTTACATTATTGATAGAGATATCACAAATGATAATCCTGCCTTCACTATCTACTCTATTTCTATGTAAAACATATTCAAAACTGTTTCTCATTAGAATGGCAACACCAGCAGATCTAGAATTAAAACTATTAAAAACACATTTGTAACCCCACTCCCGTTCCCATAGTTTTTCTACTTTATCTGTACTATGTGTCTCTTGTAAACAAATGATATCGGTACGTTTGTTTTTGAACCAATGAAAGACATCTTGTACCGATCTGAGTACAGTTTGTATTTCCCTCTCCCGCTGTCTAACTGACTCCTGTAATCTATAATTCTTGTTGTTCAGAATGTCCATTTCCTCCCTCATCTTAGCAGTCTTTGAATTTATTTGTTTTTCCTTATCCTTCATCATTTCACTTTTTAACTGTTCCATGATCTCTAAGGCTATTTCAGACACCATTGTTTTAAAAAAAATATGGTGTGTGTACTCATTGTATAAACAATGAAATGCATATTCCTACTTATAGCTGGTCAAATCTGTTGAGACATTTGACCTAAGCAGTTATTAAACTTTATAAATCATGGTTCAGAACGCTTGTTTTGCAATATTGATTAATTGTGTAAGTGTTATGCTCATTGAGACTGTTATAATTGCTTTGTCAAAATAATCAAATATATGTCAAGTCTTAAACCGGAAGTCAAATATTTATACCGGAATTAAGTTTGTCGACCGGAGGTAACAATGCAAACAGGAAGTCATTTTTTATACCGGAAATAAGCTTTTCAACCGGAAATAGCTGTCAAATGTAAACAATGCTATAACATTACATTGTCATTGAATTAACACTGGAGCTTTAATATTACAAAGCAATTATTCTTAGTCTTTGATAATGTATTATGTTTGAATTAGGAGCTGTCACCTAGTATTCAGGCATTGACAATACCTCTCACTTAAAGTGATCTCTCTACCATAGTTATCTCCCCTATTGTCATAGTTAATTCCCCTTCTAAAAAACATTGTCATGTAAACTATTGGTTAGTATTTTGAATTAATCCCTATATCTTCCTGATATTGTCCAAAATAAGTTAACATGTCAATTCATGTCAATTGCTCTGGTATTTTTATAACTCCATAAGTTTTAATTTTGGATTATCTTTTAATCAACACCAGCATGATTTTGATAAAAATATTACTGATTAATCAGTTTCTATCAGTCAAGATGTTGTGCTGATGTTCATTGTTTTGTTGTGGATATCTTTAATGATAATTCACCTTTAGTGTATGTCCATTACATACACTGTATTATATATTCTATACTACATGAATGTACTTTGCATGTGTGAAAATCTAGACATCAACTTAACAGGCTGTCTCCTTTCTGTTTTTCAGGTCCTCATCAGTTATCGAATTAGTTATCATCTGTTATACAACAAAAACATACACAGAACTCGGTGAAATAAACATCATTTTAGAATCAATTTTATCAATGAATTAGGTATATATTAATATGCGTGGAATCAAGCTAGAGAATAGAGATGGCCGTACGTCAAAACCAGATACTCACTAAGTTTTTCATCGCTATAAATTATGCAACTACCAGCATGTGATGGACATTTCAAAATATCGACTTTTCTGAAAGATTCTAGCATTTCCCTCTCAAAATTTAATATATCATGTCTGTTTGCCACCTTAAATATCAAAAACTTTGTTAACTGTAAGCTCGTTTTAGTAACCAGTTGTTTTATCTCCTTAAATACATACCTAATTGCAATCATGAAAGTATTGTATACATTTATCGTAGGTATTTATACAATACTATGATATCAGTTTGTAAAGTACAACTTAGCATTGCTCTGACATAGTTTATGTCTTATATATCAACTTATCTAGCTGATTTTCTATTGAAATTATAATGATAAGTGATTTTAAAAACTTACAACACTATACATACATCGCACTGCACATCGAGTATTACAACTAGTAGTACTCGTCAAATATCGAATTGGGATAAATTCTACAACTCGTTAGAAATAAGTAGCCTGACCTATTGCAATCGTCTTTTGTTCTTCGTCTTGCATCGTGGACCATGATTCGCGAGTCGTGTGACATGTGCTACCTCTTCTTAAAACAACCCTGAACCAATTTGAATGAAATGTGCCGAAAACCATCAACAGACAAAAATGAACAAATTGTGTCTTTTTATGGTTCTTATGGGCGAATTGAAAACATACAGCGCTTGCTATGATGGTATAATATGTCTGTAGGAGGTAGACTCGGTACTCCAAATTTGCTGATATCAAGAACAAGTTTTAAAAAGAAAGTTTTGAATCTAGTACATATGTTACTTTCACTTTGATCGTGTTCGACTTGATATTAAACCTGATTTAGCAATGTAACAATGACGTCAATATCGTCAATTTTGTGCCCTTTCAACTTTAAAGCCTTTTTCAGTCCCTATATAATTACACTATTGAGTATTGGACAAGAAATCAACATTAAGTCTCGTGCGTATTGTACCTTTCATTGTTTTATTAAGATGATCACCACTGAGACTGTGTTCTTCAGAATCACCACGAGAGGTGTTACCAATTCAATGTGTTACTACTGCTAGAGAGTATAATCACAGAATGCCCTGATCTAAAAATTCTTTCGATAGACTCACAAAAATAAAAAATTTTGTAAAATTTTATATTTTCATAGGGCTCAATTTTCGTAGTTAAAAAAATCGTGAACACGTGATTTCGTGGATGAATAAACATCACTAAGCCTACTTACACTAAGTTAACAGTGTATGGGCGTATAAATACATTGATTAAACGTACTAACAAAATCAATGAAAATTAATCCCCATGAAAAAATTATGATTTTAAAGTGGTAAAGACGTGACTAACAACAAGCATTCACTTTACTCCTCCATATGTGTCAATTATTAAAATATAATCAAATTCAGTGTATTTTATTTCATTCTGTGTTAATAATTAATTTTATGCAAAGAAATGGTCGGTATATTTGTGTTTTTATTGTGTACATGTTTTTAAGACTTCGTCATGTTCATTCTTCAACTTGATCTATATATACTGTTAATCACTTATATTTCGCGCGGGTTTAATTTTCGCATTAATACGCGTGGATATTCTGTCTAGAATTCAAGTCCCTAGCGATTATTTGTACCATCCATGTCGCTTCGGTTCCAAGTATCGGAGACTTAAAGAATCTAGACCTCTAATAGCTCATCATTCATGAATTTAAAATCATTTCTAGATCAACGTCCGCGAAACCATATATTCGCGAATATATGTCGTAACAGACAAGTTCGTTTGATAAAATAGAATAGTGATTTACAGTATTCATTTGTTCTAATTGTAGGTACAATTCCAACTCCAGAAGAATTGATAGTAACAAGAACAGCTGGAATTGGAGGATATGCTGGTTCATATTCTATAAAGATAAAGAACTGTGGTTTGTTCAGAGTGTACTATCTTGTGCCAACTTCAGGGATAGAGGAAGGATACTGCTTTGGTAATGTAATAATTATATCATTTCAAAATTAAACCTCGATACAAAGTACTGATTTTGTTGATGTACTGTAGGTACCAGATCAATCAGTATAATTATTTGAGGTAGTGTCATTACGAAATTGTCAAAAGTACAGCAACTCTCTTTTTGTTTTTATCTAACATATGTATTTGATCGATGAAACAACGATTACAAATTCTTGTACATAATACGACATTGATCCAACATGCCCCGGCTAGTCTCAAGTTATGTACTTACCACCTGGGTAATCCATCAATGCCATACTCGATTTGAAGATATATCCTCATGTTCTTGACGTTCTTCTAAAATTATCACATGTATGAAATTTACGAAATTTATGGAATTAATGCAACTCCCCATCTCGATGTTGACATTTTCCTTCGATCAATTTAGATACTCCTCAATCGCCTCCTAGGTTAAAAATCCTTAGCATCACTGACAAGGCCTAGAAGGACGAAACAGCTGTATGATGCAGTTTAATTCATTGCTTGGCTCCACTTTATCTGAGCTTATTCGTAGTAAAATGTGTTATTCATTGTGTTTTGTACAATCTTCTTAAAAGGAAGAATTATTATGAATGATGACACCCTTGATCATTACCGAAATACAACAACACCTTCAGTCACCAATTGCATTTGGCTGAAGAACTGTGAGAGATATATGTTGATGCAGATAATGAGACCCCGAGTGAGTGATATGTATGGCTAGTAGAGGGAAAATACCTCAAATGACCGCAGTGATAAACAAATTCTTGACAATCGGTGCAATATGATTTAAATGACAATTCACCCCCGAGTAGTCCATATTTTCACTAATTTTGTCATGTTTTTTACGCATTACAGGAGAAGGAGAAAATGGTAAGATTTTTATACTTATATCTTTGATAAGAAAAATAATGATATAATTAATATCTACTCTCCAAGTTATTGTAATAGCATTTCATTAATTTCCTGAATAGATATGTACCAACGCAAGTATCCTACATGAACCGTCTGCAAAAATTATCACGTAGTCGAACCATTTATGAAAACTAGCATCTTTATAAAGTTAACATGCATTGTGATCTACATATACTTCTTAGGTCCGAGGCCGGACTACAAAGTGCCATTAGGGATGAAAGTCGCTATAACACTTCGGCGTGACGATTTCTCAAGTGTTTACACAGCAGGATGTATATTCCATGAGAGCAGCAATGAGCCTTTACTGTACCAAGTAACTTGGTACGTCGATGGGAAATTTCTGATGTCCTTGCCCGCACAACGATACCAACATATTGATAAGATAGAGCTGGACGAAAACAACTTGAAGTACATGGGCAGACGGGTGAGTAGTGTTAGATTTATTCAGGATAAGAGTTTATCAAATTGGCACAACTTTCGTTATACAAATACGCAATTGACATGTTAATTAAGGGTGACAAAAAATGATAAATATTTTTGTCGTTGTTGCTTTCATGTTCATATAAGCAATACCAATACATGTCCTCTGGGCCTCTTGTTTTTATTAAGGTCTCCTGTTCAGTCAGGGCTCGCTATTCGCCAAAAGGACCACCGGGGATATCGACCACAAGTCCAGATTTTTTTATGGGGATCGAGGTAAGTGAAACCACAATGATAGTGATTTTCCAAACTGTCATGTTTTGATGACATATTACCATTTTAATTTAAGAATTAAATTATTGATCGGCAGATCAACAACAGAATAAATTTAGAAACATGTAAATTAAGTAATACTAATACATAAATCATAAACATTAACACAAAAACGATACTTTTTGTTTGATCGTCAATACACTTTTCAGTGGTGAAACATACTTGTAAGTAATATAGGTTCAATATATTTTACCTGATTAGTCCCTTGAGCTGTTATATCGCGTCCCATCCAATCAAATTTCGGATGTGTCCTATACTGTTTTTAATGTAATAATACATGTTTCTATGAAAGTGTATCGGTAAATCTAATACTTCAGATGGGATATTACATTTTGGGAATCCTCTTGTATCTAGATCAAAAGTTGAACGAAATTATTAATACTCAGTTTATGATTAAAATATTTGTTTTATTAGGTAATTTCTACCGTTGTCGACGTGACACGAGAGGAAGGCGGAACCATACGTTTTCGTCCGACTGTACCAATAGGGTGTACACCACCATCTGCTACGAGTTGTAAATTACGCATTGTCATGCAGACACTTAACGAAGACGCATGTGATTCATTGGGTGTTCTAGGAAATTCAGATTGTGGGGTTGAAGTGGAAACAAGTGATTGGAACAGGGAATTTGAAATAGCAGTTGTCGCAAATGTACCAGACGTATATGAATACAGGAAAGTGTTTGAAGTTAAGCTGTCCACGTTGGAACAGTACCGACACCACCTTGTCTGGTCTCGATATCAACTTCCACCGATTAGGGTAATTTATTTTATTCTCAACCATACGTGACCGTATCAGTCATTCTATATAAACAGTTATTAGGTCACCTTACCCGAAGAACTATGATGTTTGGTGCACCATGAGTAACGTACCGACACCACCTTATCTGGTCTCGATATCAACTTCAATCGATTAGGGTAATTCGTATTATTCTCCGACACGCATGTGACCATGTCAGTCAATTACGTTTTATATAAAAACATAATGAGATATATCTCGATAGAAAAACACACTATAAACATTCGTATGTTATACATAAGCTTACTTGATAACACTCTACATCTAATGTAAATTGTCCTATCGTTACGAATTTGTGTAAAGTATTGAAGCTAAATAACTGATTTCACTGTTGAGAATAATTTACACTATATCACTTCAGGTCAATGTCGTAGACAAAACCGTACCTCTAGCAAACAAGATTTGCTATGCACAAAACGATCCACATCTGAAGACATTCGATGGGAGGTGAGTATAATCAAACATTTTGCATTTATTTACGTTTGACGGATTGATAAAATTGATAATATTAATTATTGTCTGCGATGAATAATTCGCTATTTTTGGCAAAATATCAAACATTTGATATTATATATTATTATATATTTGGGATAGATTTTGTTTTGATTTTTCTGATTGAAGAATTAAATCACTCTGAAATAGATTATTCAAGAAAGTAATATTTTTTGACTGTATGAAGTCTAGATAATTCTTATAACAACAAACAGCAAATTTTACGACTTGTCAAGGAGGTCACATTGAACACATATGCATCTTTCTTGATGTTTCTTCTTTCAATCTATAAAATGAAAGTACATATATCAATAAACAACACAATGTTTAAAACGATGGAATTATTTCAATTTGTGGGATGAAAACAATTGGCCAGTAATACCAGGAGTAGTTGTTTCGACATAAACTACTATGTTTCGAAACTTTTAAGTGCATGAATCGTCTGTACAGGTTGCATTCATACGTGCTTCCTACTATTGTAATTATGTAATAAGCATACTTCTCATTCTAAAAATCCAATTGCAACTAATTAAGGTACCAGTTCGGGTTCGCAATACCCTGAATTTTCAATTCACGAATTAATTAGTTTTAGTTCATTAATTCTAGACAACTGCATTTTTTTATAAACGCCAGGGTGGCTCTTTGTAAGACATGTTATTCAAAACGATACGGTCGAAATTTTAGTAATCTGAAAATGCAGCATAAACATAAAGAAAATACCAACATGACATCATAATCATAATTGAAACTCATAAACTATGCAAAATATGAATAAAAGAAAGTATTACACGGGACTTCTTAAAAAGTACAAGGAGAATAAGACCTTGTGTTCCGGAAGAGTAAGTGTCTTCTCCTTCATCGACGACATCCGCCATGTAAACCTTGGTCAATCCAAGTAAGTTATGTTACGTGCTCAAATGAGAACAAGGTTACGATCAGGCATAACGATTTTAACTGATACATATATTTCAAAGTGTTTCCGTATTTGAATGCATGCATAGCAGAAGTTCCTCTTTAATCTTTGTTTTATATTTTGAATGTTGTTTTGGTCCAGTGCCCAATATCATTGTTAGTAACAATATCAGAATTATGTACATGCTTTGCACATATATTACAAATTTCATTGTTTTGGTATGATACATTTCACTGTTTCGGTATGATGCAATTTTTCACTGTTTTGTGTATGATACAAATTTCATTGTTTTGGTATGATACATTTCACTGTTTCGGTATGATGCAAATTTTCACTGTTTTTGGTATGATACAAATTTCATTGTTTTGGTATGATATAAATTTCACTGTTTAGGTATGATATAAATTTCACTATCTAGGTATGATACAAATTTCATTGTTTTGGTATGATATAAATTTCAAGGTTTTGATATGATCCAAATTTCACTATTTAGATATGATATAAATTTCACTATTTAGGTATGATAAAAATTTCACTATTTAGGTATGATACAAATTTCACTATTTAGGTATGATACAAATTTTCACTGTTTTGTACCAAATGCATTCAAAATTCAGATGGTTGTTGTTGACCATCCTCTACAGCAGTATATGATTGTTTCGCTAGTAGCCGCTTATACCTCGCATTAAAACTACTATTCTCGATACTCCAGCGGTTACAGTCACTTTCGCTCTCTTCACCCTTGTAACATGTCGTGGAATATTGAAGGTTCCATGTGCCATGCTAAAAGGTGAAAAGATCTTTTGATGCATATCAAACGAATCTAGAGGTCCCATAACGGTAACTTGTAATGGATCTGAAGTTGGGTGTCGCTCCTTTGTAATCTTCAAAATGAGCGTATCAGCCTGTAATTGGTCTGTTTTTTGCTCCTGGAACCAATAAAATTACTTTGCTTGTGACTTATAAAGGTAAAATTACATGTATACAGAAACATGTTTAGCCTAGTGGAGCGATTTCAGTGTTTTGATTTTGTTGTTGTTGTTTCATAAACGTGAGATATATTTTCAGTATCTTTACGGAACTTGTTAGTTTGTAATGATCTGCATGTTTGATTATATTTAACAGAACATACGACATACATAACAAAGGCACTTTTGTCCTCTACCGCAGTAAGAAACATTCTATACAGGTATATAAATATGTAAATACCGTATAGCCGATTATTTTCGATGGCAAAATTTTCGCGATTTCACATAAATCTTGAAAACTACCTGTTCACGAATTAAAATTTCGTAGTGTGGTTTTAACTTGGAAACATATGTATTATGTTAGTATTCTGTTAATACACATAATAAACAATAAGTATGCATCATATCGGAGGTTCTCTGTTTTACATGTTTTAAATTGTTTCCTTATGAATGAGATGTGGTTACCGAGTTTGAACTTGAACACTACGGTAAGTTGGTAACGATACTGTGGTGTATTCAACATTGCTCATTGTAGACAATATTTTCATGCGAAATCACGAAATTTATCATCCTCGCGAAAATAACCGGCTATATGGTAGATTGAACACTTCTCGGACGATGTCTTTAGAGCAACATTTCTTGCTTGATATAATCAAATTGATGTTTATGTATAGATCTGCATTCAATTTCTTTAAATTTCTTCAAGCTCTTTAAACACGTACTGATGCATTGTGCATACCATTTGCCATCAACTAACAATATTTTCTGTTTGAAATTATAAGTTACAATAGCCCTAGTTTTAGAGTCGACAATAAAAATAATTTTGTCAATCATTAATGAAATCTATAAAACAGGATGTCTACATAGTTCATTGAATATCAATGCAAACATTATACAAGCTTATTATTATGTGTTCAAAAATATACTTCAAACAACAAAAATGACACATACACATGAATAGAGGACTTGGTACAAAATCATGATTTGTGTGCACTGGTATTTTTCATCATCCCATGGATCGTCTTTCTGTATGCTGTCTGTCTGTCTGTCTGTCTATCTATAATGCACTTTCTTCTTTCTTTGTGTAAGCTATCCTGAATGCCTAAATAGTGTGGGTTCGGGATTAGAGTGTAGTTTTAAACATTGCGGATGCAAGCAATGACCAATTCTTCTTTGTTGACTAGCATATGATGATGGTGATAGATTATGTTTGATTGATCATCATTGATCATAATGTTGATTGATAATAATGGTGGGGACGACAAGTAATAATTGTGATGACTGATTATGATGATGGTGATAGATTATGTTTAATTGATCATCATGGATCATAATGTTGATTGATAATAATGGTGGGGACGACGAGTAATAATGGTGATGACTGATTATGATGATGATGATAGATTATGTTTGATTGATCATCATGGATCATAATGTTGATTGATAATAATGGTGGGGACGACGAGTAATAATGGTGATGACTGATTATGATGATGATGATAGATTATGTTTAATTGATCATCATGGATCATAATGTTGATTGATAATAATGGTGGGGACGACGAGTAATAATGGTGATGACTGATTATGATGATGATGATAGATTATGATTATGATAGTAGCGATTATACAATTGCTATGATGGTTATCGATGATTTATTCTGACGATGACTAATTAAAACGATTCATTATGATTAATTATTGTAATGAAGATTATTAATTATATAAATGATAGAATAGAAGTTCTTATAACACAACCAGTTCAAAATTAGAGTATAACATTTCGATGACTACACGGTCACCGCCATTATGATTGTGATTGAACTTCTAAATTGTTATATAATTATCGTATGCATGAAAATGAAGATAATCAAAAATGAATTACCTACCAGATCACACAGGATTTTCCTCAGTCGCCACTTTGCTTCACTGGCGAGTCCTGGAAGGACGAAACATCTGTATGGTGTAACATCCCTGGCGAGTTCTAGAAGGACGGAAAAGTTGTGTGATGTAACATCACTGGCGAGTCCTAGAAGGACGAAAAAGTTGTGTGATGTAACATCACTTGCGAGTCCTAGAAGGACGGAAAAGTTGTGTGATGTAACATCACTTGCGAGTCCTAGAAGGACGGAAAAGTTGTGTGATGTAACATCACTTGCGAGTCCTAGAAGGACGGAAAAGTTGTGTGATGTAACATCACTGGCGAGTCCTAGAAGGACGAAAAAGCTGTATGATGAAGTTAAATTCATTGTTTGGCGCTACTAACCTATAGTTAAATTGTGATATTCACTTGTGCATCTTTTATACATTCTAAGTCCTTAAATGTATTAAATGTGATTTCTAATTCACGTAATGATATTTTTGTAATCCATACTTATATAAGTATATCTATTGTGTTCAGGTTCAGTCGTACTTCCAGTCGTGTAATGGAGGGTACCCTCATTGTGTATGTGGGGTTGCCGTGCAAGCCGGTCGTGATGTCTTTGTCTTTGATAGATGTAATGGCTTTTACGACTATCAATTTTGTTTGGATGGAATCTTAGACGTCCGACGTGATCCAAAGAGCAGCCGAAAATACAGGGTAATAATGCAAGCTCTAGTCCTATGATGTTTTATGCTGAAATAACATTACATTCATATAGTTGCTGTCCAGTCATTACATTCTTTGTCATCTACAAAAAAACGTAATGAAAAAAGAATTTTACCGCTTGAAATTGTGTTATTTTTACAAGTTGAATCTGTATTTTAACATTTAGTTACCATTCCAATACTATTCGGCAACGTACTGAAAGACACTCTGCATTTTGCCCACAAGCGATAATGTAATATTATCTCATATTCCCTGCTAAACACGAATTTCGACAAATTATTTTTTCAAGGAAAATGTTTGCTTAACTGTCTAATTCGATTTGCAGATATATACCCCGACTGGTACCATGATCGAAGTCAGCGATCACAACTGTTGTGGTGGTAGCTTTGTAACAGTTTCTGTACGACCATCGAAAAGGGACATTGATGCATCCGAAGGACTTTGTGGAACACTCAACATGAATCATCAAGATGATTTCTTGAAAAGCGATGGCAAACTTGCAACCGACGCAAATACTTTTTCAATGTCGTGGAGGTGAGGAAGTGAAAGTTTAGTATGGCCTGTTATCAAGGATTTATTAACAAGTCCCGTTCTGCATTCTTGCATTTGATAAAAGAGTCCAGTTCCTTGTTCTGATAGGCATTAAATGTATGAATATTCAATAGATATTGTGTTCAGTTATAGTGAGAGATTTGAATTACGGAAACGTGGTTGACGGATTCGTTGTCTTAGCCACAACAAGATTCCAACTCCTTTCTTGTGTTCTGCTAGGCCGTTCATTGATATCCTCGACTCTCCAGGGGTCACTTTCGCTCCCTTCACCCTTAGAACAAGTCATGGCAAAACTAAAGGCATTAACTAAGAAATTTAATTGGTTCCAGGAGTAACAAGTGACCAATCATAGACCGATACCTCCTTTTGAAAATTACAAAGGAGCGACACCCTATCATCAAAGTCATAACATTAACTAAGAAATTTAATTGGTTCCAGGAGTAACAAGTGACCATCAAAGTCATAACATCAAAGTCATAACATTATATCGTAATGCGACCTCAAGATTCGTTTGATGTACGGCAAAAGATAAAACTACTCTTGCTCACAAGATGCCGCACACGGAACTTTCAATTTTGTCATGACACGTTCCAGAGGTGCTGTGAGTGATAAAGAGCGTAACCCCTGAAATATCAAGAATGCCCATTTGGCTGAAGCGCTTAAAACACCATGTTGGCTTCAAGTATCCAAATGAATGGTGAATAAGATTGCAAAGGATTACTGCTATATATAAGAATAAATCTGTTTTTAAACTTATTTTCTTCGGCCTTGATAAGGCATTATACCTTTAGTTCGTGAAGTCTATTGCTTAGCATGTCAATTAATTTTCTGATACAGTAAATGAAATACAGCTGTAAAGTGGAGTAATCTCTTTAGCACAATAGTTATACAAACTTTTCATTTATCTGAACATCGATACGACTCTTTTCAATTAACAGTGTTAGAATTAGCCGATTTTTCTATTTTTATGCATAGGAACCATAATTTAAATATAATTCATTTTACTACACTTTAATAAGTACTACGCAATGTAGATTTTTATGTCACCACGTAAAAATGTTGTAATCCTGTTGTTAAGCGTTAAACCATTACTATACAACGTAGAATGTAGTCTCGCCCTTTTCGTGTGTCATTTGTACAATCTTTAACCTGCAGTCACGAAAAATCATTTTTAAAATGTAGAAATCAAAAACATGTATCCACTATGACTGAAGTGCTAGACATTTTAAATGTGTTTTATGCTTAATTGCTGTCATCAAAGCATGACAAAATGAAGTTTAGGATGTACGGCAAGTGTCTCGCAGATGGAGCAAATGATTTAGAGCCCATTAACACATTAAACCTACTGTTTTGATGCGAGGTCTAAGGATAAACTGATGTTATTGGATCATCTTAGTCACATAACCACTTATTGATGTGTTCATTTTCATACGTTTTTACAGAATAGATCGTGCTGGCGAGGCAGATCTCTTCAGTAGAACATTAAACCATAACAAACTTCAAAAATGGGGACAACAAAATGAACTTTGTTCATGTGAATATAACCGGACTATTGAGATCCCTGTGAGTCCTAAAGTTGTATGTAAAAGTAACTTGGTGTCTGACTGCATGCAAAATGCAAGATTGGAAAAACGAATTGATACCTGTAAAGTACACACTGTTCTCAGAGGAAAACGTAGTTTGCGTTCTATCAACGACGGCCAGCGTCGACGAGATACATACCTCCTAAATTTGAAAAAGGTATGTTGGAATGGATTTTTAAAATACGAAATAGATAAATAAATCAGAACAAAAACAATATCACCTGTATTTAAGATAATGTCCTTTTCCTTCTATATCTTACTTACGAAGATTCACAACTGATGCTTTCTCGAGAGATTATTGATATAAGTATATAAATGAATAATTGGTCGTCTTTAAGAGCATATCGGAAGCATTCTCTGTTTATAAATAAATAGATACTTTTGTCTAAATATCCTGTTTTTTCGTCGTCAAATTGTATCATAATTCCAGCTGTCAAATCTTAAAAGCTTTATGAATGCTGTACATTGTTTTCTTTCTTTTTTTACATTTTAATGTTTGAATAATGGTTCTGGTTTGATTTGTTTTGCATTTGAATATTCTCTCGTTGACTACATTTAGGATATAGATAAGAGTTATATCAAAACATTCGAAAATAAGATAAAGTGATGGTGAAATGAAATAATCAGTTCAGTACTGATAGCAAATAATCGAAACGAGGATCATTTCTTATTGCTCATCGCTTTACTTTAACTTTTTAAACATTCGAGTTTTTGGTTTTCAACAGGTTGGTAACAATGAGTAGATGTTCCTATAATCAGTATGAAAGTTATATTCTTCAATTGGATGACTACACTGTCACCTTCATCAGATATATGACCATCGGAAACGTGTTTGTACTGAGGCATAAGTTGATGTATTGGTCAATGTGTACTCTGAACACTGTGTGGTCATCTTTTCTTTACATGGCAAAGTAGTATTTACTTCCTTGCATGTGGCTGATGTTAGCAGTATCTACTGTGTTGAAGTGCGCTGTCGAATCATATCATGACTAACACTTCCTTCTTGAAATGTTCCATAAACAAGATGGCTGCAATTGGAAACACTGGGCTGCCCATGGTTACGTAAGATAAGTAAAATATGCTGTTGTATGCACAAATTCCAATAAATACTCGATGTCTTGGAGAAATTTGTGTTATTTCTCCTAAATCTATCTAGCTTGTAACTGAGCCATTGGGCACGTTTTTCAAAAGAGACACACCATCGTGTGAGAAGGATTTCCTATTATTTTTAAGCTAAGCATTGCCGGATGGATTTTCATGGGATAGTATATAAGTGCAACCTGATGTACGTACCAATTCGACCTGTTCTCACTATAATATTGTCACCATCTCGTCACACTACTTTCTACCTTAGCGTACATGTGATTATAGTACCACCAAAATAATGTTATTGCTATCTCGTACATTCTATACCTTTATTCAAATACGCTGCAAACTACTAATTGGTTTGATGAAGGTGACAGCGTAGGCATTGGTAAGTGCACAATATTGTAACTGGTTCTGATATGAGAACTTTCATACAATATACGGAACCAACTCGAAGAAATGTTACGGGATTTCAAACATGATTTGTCTTTGAAACATGTCTTCAGTTGTATATATATATATTCTTTGTTTCCGTTGTAGCGTTCGACTAATCGTGTAAACATGGATAAACAACAAGCAGTACAATATTGCACCGATTCGCTCACAAAGTCAGCTGCTTTTAACCTTTGTGGTACCGTTCCTAATGTCAATATCAGTGATTCAATCAACATTTGTGCTTTGGATATATTGGTTTGTATATGAATGATCCATCACTTTTTATGTTAAGGTAGCACTTTGGTCAGTCACAGTATATCATTTACTGAACCAATCACGTTTAGCAATGATATCTATTTTCCTAATATGAATTTTAAATTTCTGAATAGCACCCTCCCTGAATCCTCTGAGTGTACATATCACAATTAATTCGATATCCGAGGGCCTAGTCACATTATTTTCGATTTTTGTGCAAGGATGCCTGAACAAACAGTCAAACTCGAAACAGAGGGTTTCAAAAATGATGAAAATTATGTGGTGGTCATAATAATCTCATTGAGAAATATCTTATTTCTTTGTGTGATATAAAGCTGGACGTGTTTAATGCTCGGTAGTTTGCCTATTCATTGCGTTGTTGTATACCTTGTACTAATTTGAGAACATGACATTACTTAGATTGACCAAGATTTATATGACGAGTTTCGTCGATAAATCAGAAGACGCTTATTAATCTGGAACACCTGGTCTATTCTCCTTGTACTTTTTCAGGGATCTCTATGTAAATAATTATTTAGTTCATGTTTTCCCCTTATCTATTGAATTTGGATTATAATTATGTTAACATGTTGGTTTTTTCTTGTAGATATTATATCATTCTTTTCGAATATCGTTTCAATATTACTAGTCCTTTTGATCTAATGCGATATTCGCCCATTCGTAAATAGGAACTTACCGTTGCGAATTTATTTATCGAATTCTTAAATTGGCGAATCAAAGATGAACATGTTTTATGCTATTTTTGTTACCTCTTTTTTTCCAGTTGACTAACACAACAGACTGGACGGATTCTTCGCGGGAAGGTTTAAAAGATTCCTGTTTGATGGAGCTACAAATGAACACCACTTTGCAGGAGAAGGGTCCTGGTGATACACCGTCTCTTGCTGAAAAAATCTCAGAGATATCGTGTCCAGGGGAGTGTTCAGGTCTTGGAACGTGCAATCAAGGTAGGGCTTAATTTCTCTGTCGTTGCCATCTTTTTTCAATTTTCTGTGCATTAATTGCATAATAAGCATCTTATAGAAACATTTATAGTACATACTGGGTAGTAGCAACCCGTTTGGTGCAGTGGTAACTTGTTTCACTTAGCCAACCAGTGTTCGATTCGAGGAATCATTTTTGTTGACCTGCCTGACCTCTTATATACTAGCACTCTTTCATTCAAACTCGCGGGTTTTAATCCGGGCTAAAAGAATGATTTATGCATACTATAAGCTCGTTCCCAAATTATTGTGGAATGAAAATATTTATACTTGTCATACGATCGGTCTATATTTGCACAGTAATACAAATATGTTTCAGTCAACTGCAATTATTTTGATTTAGCACATGTAATGGCATGTCATGGTGGGTTTCTTTTATTCGATGTTAAATGCGCTTAGAGGTCGATTGTGAATATGTGATGTGTCATTGGCACTGTAGATAACTACTGTTCGACAATTAAACTGTTATGAAAGCAAATAAAACATATTATTTTCTAGATATGCATAAAAGCACTCTAACCTTACGTTTTCTTTAAGGTGAATGCCAGTGTCCTGAGGGGTTTGGAGGATCCGACTGCGCAATAGACCTAAGCATACCACCTTTCTTTGATGCCCTGATGGATGAAGGATTATGTGACAAACAACACTGGGTTTGTGACGCAGCCTTAGCGTTGGGGAACGACTTCGTTACTGCTGACTTGCTCAAGTGCAACATGAAGTCATTTTCGGTAACGAATCAGATAACGTAAATACAATGATTAAATAGATAAAGTCCCTAGTCTGGTCATGGGTCTTGATGAATCATACAGTCCTAGATTACCTCTACACCAAATTATAGTATAGTGCGGTATCATCCTGATGTAAACATAGTTTACTTAAGACAAACAAAAGATAAAAGAGATGAAGGTTTGACAGTCTAATTTTGCCTTGATAATGATACTGAAACAACAGGAGACAATCATTAAGATAAGGGTGATTAATTGGCATATGGTGACATCTCTCCAAGGACCAATACTAAACCAGTCTATCAAATGCTACACAATCTATTTCACACAAAACTATCTTCTTTTTAGAAATTATTTATTGACTAACAGTTCTCTTTACAACGTATATATATTGTATATCATTATGTTATTTTATTATTGGTAATTGTGAAATTTCCTTCAAAGTAACAACCTTTCAACTGTAAAAACTTCCACTAAAGATAGCTGAAAATTGATGAAGAATTGATGAACGCAAGGTAGTCGTATATACCACAACATGTATATATAAAGGGCATGCAATATTATCGACTTAGTGTACATAGGATTATAGTACAGCCGAAAAAGTCTATCGATTCCTTTCCATCTCGTACTCTACATACGTCAGCGCTTGTGCACTTCACACTGGCCATTTGTCCCGTTTATCTGACACTGTTGTCATGGAAACGTCACTTGAAATCGTCCACTGGTTGTGATATAAGAACCTCTATTCTATTGACGTTTTCAAAATGATGAAAATGCTCCGAAATGTTATATTACACACTTTTAGGGTATTTTTCTTCCCTTTGACATGAGCAGTGTTTAGATATGACTTGCAGCAGAAGAGCAGTTGTTTGTAAAACTGTGTTTTTCTCTTTAGATCGATAAAACAGGGAAGGTATCTGAAGAAGAGGACCAAGTGGTTACAGCCGATATTCAGACAATGACGAGTCTATTCTGTCCATTTCCTTCTCATAGACATAAACGTGACACAGAACAACTATCGGAAACTTTTGTGGCAGGGTACCATGTTTCTCTCAGCAATGACGGATTACATTTTGGGGAGAGTCGAAAGTTGTACATATTTGACGCGACATGTCAAATACCTGTGGCGGTGGGCAATTCTTATGAATTTACCCTGAAGGTAATAAAATTATTATTCTCTTTCCTAAAAGCTAAAAACAGTTATGAAAAGTTAATTATAATGCATATAAATCGTAGGAGAGAATAACATGGAAGCATGCACACGTTATATATCATACAGTTGTTTCAACCTGACAGTCGTTACATTTGTAAGTGGTTTTAAAAACGCAACAATTTGTCTTGAAGGTAATTAGATAACTACTCTCTTGCCTGGTGCTCAGGAAAGGGTCACTATATTACATCATATATATTACATTCTTGCCATGTAGTTTTGGTATTTTAGAAGTTATCTTGATACAAATAAGTAAAGCTGACGATCGGAACAAGAAAAAATAAAAAATATATATATCAATAATTACTATACATTTAGTGTTATTCTCGGTGAAAATTTCTAAGTGAATGAAAATCTGAAAAAAAACATCAGTTATGTCGGTATACATGTACACCAGTTCATAGACATATGTGAAATTTTATTCCCCATGAACTGGCCCAGCCCGGGATAACTGCGAAATGTTAGCCTCAACGAAATTAAACAATTTTATTGTATTGAGTTTATCTCAATTACAAACGATTACCTCTTGAATTAAATGTCCTTATATGTCTTAACATCTCGGACATATCACAAGCATTAAATAAATATGGTATTGTCAGAGATGTGTTGTGATATACAAAAATAATAATAACAGAAATAGTATATATATTAAGCTGCTCCTAATTTCCATTGTCAGAGCGGTTATTGCTTCATCAACAATGAGTGTAAGAAAGACGGAGAGGTCAACCCACACAATGATTGTCATGTCTGTGATACAACAAACGATTCTTACAGCTGGTCTTTGAGGAAAGAAATTACGAGTGAGTAATAACGGTCCAAGCTAAGCTTTAATATGTAAAGCAATTTGATATTTCCTTGTTGCTATTAAGGAAATAATTAAGTGCTTGACGTTTTAGTAAATATTGTCCTAGCCCGTTATTTCTTATTACTATTGTTGACAAAACGTATTACCTGCATGTCATAAGACCATACCACCATTAGCTAAATTCCTCTCTGCTGCTTTTAATTAAGATGTAATAGATAAAATGTACTGAAGACGTCACATGACCAAATTGTGATATAATCTAGAAACATTCTATGTAAATTGCAGCAGCATGATGTATACTTACCAAAATGCCAAACTTATGAACTGTCCTTGCTAATACAGTACGATGTCTACATATGATAATGTTGTTCTGTAGAGTGTGTTCCTGTAAAGACTGTCACTGAGGAACCCAGTTCGTACTTGTGGGTGATAGGGCTAGTTGCTGGACTTCTTGTGGCAGGCATTATAATTGGTGTTATTCTTTGGAAAAGGAGGACCAAAGGGCTAGTATATGTTTTTACATTAAAAATATCACAATGACAGTTTCATGTTAATTTCTAATATTTTATACTTATTCTTCATTTTGGTATAGATATTATATAGTACATTTAGTATAGAAAACAGAAGGGCTGGACTAGATGCTTAAGTATAAAGAGCACATAATGTTACCGTACATTTTTTAAAAGTAAAGTTTAAACCGGGGGCATAGTGTTTCATAAACACATCTTGTTTTCAACGTATTTTTTCGTATTCAGGGTAACCGAACGTTCCAAGAACATGAGGCAATCACCGTCGGACAATAAGGATTCAACTCAAGAAATGAAAATGCTAGCGTGAATAACATTGCTGCTGGGATGACATGCAGGTGCTATATTGGTTGATGTTAAGTTGATCTTGATGACAGGGAACTAATCACAGAACACCAATTAAATGCTGCTGATGCTGGAATTATGTTCTATATATGTGGCTATGCTGTAGGTATATTGTATTCTAAGTTATCAAATTTCTATTTGGGGCCAAAAGGGGTCATATAAGACTCCATATAAGGTAGAATCACACGCGTGGATGGAAGGTTTTGAAAGTGTTTTACGAAACTTTTTAATTTGATGAGCTCAGTTTCTCTCATTTCGCCCTTGAGAGAGGATATACCAGATTTATATTGAAATACATGTTTTAGCTTATATTTTTATCCAGTGTTAGATGTTACTCTGTTAATCATGTTACAATAACACCAGAACAATAACAGGATTTTTAGGACCCACATAGCCGTTAAAGCCCTAGGGTCGTTTGTCATTGGAATAGAAGTTGCTTTATAAGTGTATTTTTTGTTTGCAATAGTTGTTGAACTGTATCTATCTTTCGTTTCATTTAAACATATTTCATGCATCTGCATACGATATATTGCATTTTTCTATAAACATACTGCTTGCCTTTAATATCAGCTAATATTTTTTTTATTATTTTTGCGTGTTTATGTAGGCAATTCATTTAAATTACCTGCTTTTACGTGTCATGAAATGTCATATATTGCTTCAGCAATCTCGTTACCTTTAACGATCTTTTTTAAGATGCCTGGCATATGTCTTTTGCAATAAATAAAATAAAATGAAATTGATATCATGTTTGCTTCGTTGTTCATTAACGGCAAAAGCATACATACTTTAACTGTTTTAAAATAATGAAATCCAAAAGTAATACGTTGTATATGAATGATACAAACCTTTGCTTAAAATATGGTAAATAAAAAATCCCCGAATAATATCATCTTGAGCAGCTGGTAAATCCTTAATCTGGTCTGTTTACTTACCGGAATATGTTATGGAGAGGCATGGTGTTTTGGGCGTTGTTCGAGTTGTTGTCTCCGTTACTTCTTGTAGATAAACATATATGTCGTATAAATGTTGTATTGTCAGAGAAGCAACAATGTTTTATATAAAGCGTTTATAGTTCCAACCACAATCCTGTTTGATTGTGCGAGAGTACAAAGCCAATGCTAGAATGATTGTTAATATCTTATAAACGGTCATTACAAAAGTAAAACTAAATGGAAAACAACATGCATTATCTCTCATAGAATTTTATGACATATATAAGAAAATCAACAAGAAAATACTAACATAGCAACACAATCATATTCCAAACTTACATTTAATAAAACCGAGGCAACATATGAACAAAAGAAAGATTTACACGGAGAATCATGGAAAAGTACAAGGAGAATAAGACCAGGTGTTACGGAAGGGTAAGCGTCTTCTGCTTCATCGACGACAGCCGCTATGTAAACCTTAGTCAATCCAAGTAGGTTATATCAGGTTCTCAAATGAGAATAAGGTATGAAACAACAAAACCAACAGGAAACCTTACGAGCATCAAACACGTGCAGCTTCATTTCGCAGAAAAGATTAGAGTATTTCTTGTTGAGATCACTATGATGACCGTTAAACTTCCCGATAATCTTTTGAAACCCTAATGTTATAAGTTTCTTGTTCAGTTGACGACTTCCTAAACGAAAATCACCATAATGGTAACAGACCATTGAATATCGAGTCACCTGCGACATGTAAACACCATAGGTTGGGATGGAGGAATGCTGTTATCCAGAAATGGAAATTTCACAATAGTGAAATTGATGTTATCACATTTGTCAAACAACTTAATGGAAAGCTGCTCATGTTGGTTTCGTTGTTGGATCAAATCGAGATAAGCAGCTGATGTAGAAGAGCATGTCGTGTCTTTGATTTCTAGTTCTGGTGGGTATATATAAATGATTCCCTGTTTATATCCTAAGTAATATGCCAGATCTGCAAGGTGGTGCTATGAATGGGGAGTTCTAATGTTATCTGTTGCTATCGCTGTAATGTAAATATGCATCATTGTTTATCTTGTACTTTAATTATGCTCAATGTAACTATAATAAATAATCCATCTAATGAATCTGAGTTGGGTGTTTAACAAAAAGAAAGGGCTGTTTCAGGAACCAATTATAAGTTACTTACATACGGTATCACCAGGATATTACCTGTATACCGCCTTTGTTACATCAGAAGTATTTGGCCTAAATTACATTGTAATTATGTTAATGTGTTAGTATTTTTGTTGATAATTAATGTCTTAGTTTTGACTTTTAATTGAATATAAATAACTTGTACTGAACAAAACTGAGAAGTAACACATTTTTGTTTAATTTATAAATCCTGATCAGGCATGTACGAAATTAGCAATTAACCTTTCGGATAACACTATTGTAATTGTTGGGTTAACAGATGTTGAAGCAATACATTAGAACCGAGTAAGGCTAAAGTTTAAAATTCTCTCGTGCGTTTTCCAAGGACGTCCCAAATATGTTTAGTTGGAGACCAATTAGGTGCTTTGGATAGTCATTCTGACATCTGTACATCAGCACATTACTTTGGTGCATGAAAGTTCTGCACTTACCTGCTGGATCTTAATAAATATAGACTATAGTGATCTAAAGTTTTGTCTCATTTCGAATGCCGATGAAATTGTTATTTACCTGAACAAGTCTGCTACCTTTTCCCTCAGACACCCATCCGAACAATTACACATCAGCTGCCGAATCAGTCCCATTCTGCGACACAGCAGTCCGCTCCTCTCATCGCCTCTAATCTCTGTCCATATCGTTACTATGTTGCTGTCAAAACCAGGACTCATCTGGTAACATTGTCCCATTGTCGGAACTAAGACAGTGAACTCGGGTCCAATTACACTGATTATTACGGTGATTCTGGTACAAAATGGACGCAATATAGGAACACCGCACTTTCAATTTACAGGCTTTCAACCTGTGTTGACTGTTTGAGTAGACACACGGCGCCTAAACAATATATTTGTCATCTCGATTGCGGTTACGAACAGATTCAGCAACAGGTCATCCTTAACCGCCAGGAACGAAAGGATACATACCCAGTTTGATTTAAAAGACTTGGTACCTATAAAATTTACACGGCAACCAAAATGTTGAGTCAATCGACGCCGAGACTCCAGAGAAATCTGGCTTTGTTCATACCTACAACCCTTTCCAGTCTTTGTATTTGTGGCAATCGAGAAATAATGGTTTAGTTGATAGATAGCAAGACTGAGTGAAGTCCCGATAATATGAGTGAAGTCTGGATAATATGAGTGAAGTCCCGATGATATGAGTGAAGTCCCAATAATATGAGAGAAGTCCCGATAATATGAGTGAAGTCTCGATAATATTAGTGAAGTCCCGATAATATGAGAGAAGTCCCGATAATATTAGTGAAGTCCCGATAATATGAGAGAAGTCCCGATAATATTAGTGAAGTCCCGATAATATTAGTGAAGTCCCGATAATATGAGTGAAGTCTCGATAATATTAGTGAAGTCCCTGTAATATGAGTGAAGTCCCGGTGATATGAATGAAGTCCCGATAATATGAGTGAAGTCCGGATAATATGAGTGAAGTCCCGATAATATTAGTGAAGTCCCGATAATATGAGTGAAGTCTGGATAATATGAGTGAAGTCTCGATAATATTAGTGAAGTCCCGATAATATGAGAGAAGTCCCGATAATATTAGTGAAGTCCCGATAATATGAGAGAAGTCCCGATAATATTAGTGAAGTCCCGATAATATGAGTGAAGTCCGGATAATATGAGTGAAGTCCCGATGATATGAGTGAAGTCCCAATAATATGAGAGAAGTCCCGATAATATGAGTGAAGTCCGGATAATATGAGTGAAGTCCCGATGATATGAGTGAAGTCCCAATAATATGAGAGAAGTCCCGATAATATGAGTGAAGTCTCGATAATATTAGTGAAGTCCCGATAATATGAGAGAAGTCCCGATAATATTAGTGAAGTCCCGATAATATGAGAGAAGTCCCGATAATATTAGTGAAGTCCCGATAATATTAGTGAAGTCCCGATAATATGAGTGAAGTCTCGATAATATTAGTGAAGTCCCTGTAATATGAGTGAAGTCCCGGTGATATGAATGAAGTCCCGATAATATGAGTGAAGTCCGGATAATATGAGTGAAGTCCCGATAATATTAGTGAAGTCCCGATAATATGAGTGAAGTCTGGATAATATGAGTGAAGTCTCGATAATATTAGTGAAGTCCCGATAATATGAGAGAAGTCCCGATAATATTAGTGAAGTCCCGATAATATGAGAGAAGTCCCGATAATATTAGTGAAGTCCCGATAATATGAGTGAAGTCCGGATAATATGAGTGAAGTCCCGATGATATGAGTGAAGTCCCAATAATATGAGAGAAGTCCCGATAATATGAGTGAAGTCCGGATAATATGAGTGAAGTCCCGATGATATGAGTGAAGTCCCAATAATATGAGAGAAGTCCCGATAATATGAGTGAAGTCTCGATAATATTAGTGAAGTCCCGATAATATGAGAGAAGTCCTGATAATATTAGTGAAGTCCCGATAATATGAGAGAAGTCCCGATAATATTAGTGAAGTCCCGATAATATTAGTGAAGTCCCGATAATATGAGTGAAGTCTCGATAATATTAGTGAAGTCCCGGTAATATGAGTGAAGTCCCGGTGATATGAATGAAGTCCCGATAATATGAGTGAAGTCCCGATAATATTAGTGAAGTCCCGATAATATTAGTGAAGTCCCGATAATGTTAGTGAAGTCCCGATGATATGAGTGAAGTCCCGATAATATGAGAGAAGTCCCGATAATATGAGTGAAGTCTCGATAATATTAGTGAAGTCCCGATGATATGAGTGAAGTCCCGATGATATGAGTGAAGTCCCGATAATATGAGGAACAGGTGTAAGTTTGATTTATATGATATTCAAGTGAAGATACAATTAAGTTGGAGAAAACTTCATGGAGCACTTCCGTTATAAAGAATTTGACACTCGAATAAATTTGGTAACATCTTATCGTAAATGAAATCTATTGCATTTTCTTATAATGCAAAAAAAACGTCATTTTGTTTTCACTCAATTACAGGTAATTGCAAAGAAAACATGATAACTTTTCGTTTTTGTTGAATGTAGCATGGATCTGATTGAAAAAATCTACAGATATGCAGATAATTAAATACAATGAAGAGCATTGTTATTACGGATTAAATGCGACGGTCCCGACAAGTTTAAAATGGTATTTTAATGTGAAATTCATGAATTAATAGAACATGAAAATAAGATCTAACTGTTGAACTATCATTCAAAATTGCACAATTTCAGAATGCAAGTAAATTCGAATATCGCATTAATGATTCTTTAGACAAAAAAAACAACAACAATAGAAAAACGGAGGAAGCATATCCTGGATATAGATTGTGAATGTCAAGTTTATAATTAGACCTCAGATAGCGTACCAAGTGCAGTGTAGATGTAATTCAACACAAGCTCTCAGAATTGCATTAGGATTATTATAGATACACTGTCAGTTAGTTTATTGGTAGAATTGCCTCAAAGTCTTAGAGGAGAAAAACAAATTCTCAAATATTGAGCTAGAGCATCTGGAAATAGAAATTCCAACTAAAAAAGCCATTTAAATAGGCCAGAAACTCGGTTCATAAAGGAGAATCAATTTTTAAACTAAAGACACACAATAATAACAATTTATTGACGGAAGTTGGGGTCCAGACAATATTCAGTTCGATGAAAAGTTCCATAACCCACTACCACCTTGGTTCATCTGTAAACCTGAAGTCAACTATGAAAAATTTCAACAAAAACTAAACCCTGCTTCGTCACAACTTAAATATAGTAAACGATTAAAAATTGCAGCTACACCGTACATCAGATAGTTTCACAGTACTGCTCCTGTACTAAAATCTAGACACTTGTTAAAAGGTTGAACAAAATATTCTAACATAAATACGTAATTTACTGCTTTTGCAGTTTGGCATGTGGGCGTCTTAAAAGCGATAATCTGTATCAACACATGAAACACAGAATTGAAATATAGCAATGCCGATTCAATGTGGATTGCTACTGATACTGAGATTCTTGGAGACCTAGAGTCTCCTCCCCTGTGCCCCATCCCACGCTCTATGTCTCAATAAGATAGTTGGCATACACAGTGAATTTGGTTGCAACTGTACACATAATTATTAGTAAATGCTACTCTCAACCATCACCAAAAGCTACGTACATCACCTGAAATATATCGCAACAGTTCCACATCACGTGACCCGCTTAACCAGACTCATTTCACTCCTCCTTAGAAACTCTATCTCAATACCAAAGTCACCCTATAACAAACTTCCGGTAAAGAATATACTTAATTATTGTCAGAAACCTATTCCTTGACCAAATTAGTTGATTAAAAAACTAAAATTCTCTCGTCAAAAAGTCGTAGCTGTTTTTGGCTGTGGTCAGAGTCAAAGTAGGATAGTGTTACGTCATCGGAGTCGACCTCTTAAATATGGTTTCAGATCATGGGACACGAGAACAGTCGATCTATCTCTACCCCAGTCCCCTTCGCCAGCTTTCTACAACACCAGAACAGTCGATCTATATCTACCCCAGTCCCCTTCTCTCACTATCTACAACATCAGAACAGTCGATCTATATCTACCCCAGTCCCCTTCTCTCACTATCTACAACACCAGAACAGTCGATCTATCTCTATCCCAGTCCCCTCCTACAACACCAGAACAGTCGATTCTATCTCTACCCCACTCCCCTTCTCTCACTATCTACAACACCAGAACAGCCGATCTATGTCTACCCCAGTCCCCTTCGCCAGCTCTCTACAACACCAGAACAGCCGACTCCACCTCTATCCCAGTTTTCTACAACACCAGAACAGTCGACTCTATCTCTACCCCAGTCCCCTTCGCCAGTTCTTTACAACACCAGAACAGTCGATCAATCTACCCCAGTCCTCTTCCCCAGTTCTCTGGTGGAGGGTTAATCTGTAATAGAGATAATAATCCATTGATTGATTTCTATAAGTCTTATTTTGTTAAACAAATATTATTATTGTGAAGTATTTTTCCATCAGAAATCCGTGGGTTTTTTATATATATATATATATATTTGTGAGTAATTTTGTAATAGATAAATGGATGTTTTGATCGGTGTACTACAGAGACGTATATATCACGTGATATATACGTCTCTGGTGTACTATAAGCAGGAACGCTTAACCTAAAGGCTGTGGGTTGGTTGATCATTGAATTGAGTAGAATCAGACGTTTACTGTTGAAAGCGCCCGTTGATATTGTTGGTATTAAAATACATATTCTGCGGGAAGCTGAATTGCCGCTTGCTTGTACATATCCTCGATTTGTATTTTTACTACTGTTTCAAATTCATATCATAAAAATCGTGATGTGAGAGCGTATGTGGCCAGTTCAACTTCTGTTTAGTTAATTACTTATTTCTATATATTTATTAGACATTTTTATTGTGTTTGATTATTCTCCTATAATCGGATTCACAACTAAATACTGAAGTTACATCGGAAGTGTTATACTTTTATTAGTGGTGTTCAACCTATCACACGCATATTGGTATATTACCTCCCCTTACTATCTCAATTACCCACAATCCAAATTTTAATGGCAGCGTTTGCTGTCAATCTTGCATTGTGTATAGCTTTAACATGAATTGGTAAGTGTTGTTTTGGATTTCACTATTTAGGAATATCGTTTCCTTTTTCCGATTCTAAATATACTTATATAGATATTCGTATCTTCAATTGTTTCGCTGATGTCATCCAAGGAAAACGTGCTGTCAGAGAGGCTGGAACGCATCTTTTACTACTACGTATTTCTGCTATAACTACTGTATGAGAAGGCTTATAACCGACATCTTTTTCGACACAATCGGTCGACCAGCAGCCTCTCGTGTTTAAATTGACGTCACATTTTGATTTACGTCGATGCAACGGATCCCCAACACATCGTCTCATTACAGATAAGATAACATCCCCAGAACTCTGACATATTTGTGGATAAGTTTGTCATTAAAGTGATTTTGCCTTTACTGCTAAATTATTCCGAACTGTTTAAATAATTGTCACCACTACTACTACTGCATAATTATATAGGCCAGATGAAAAAGTCCTTGGATGTCTTGGTTTGTTTACAAATGTAGTTGTTCATGTAATTTGTCAGTTATTGTGAATATACTTTTTAAAAACATTTCCTGGCCCACTATCTGTTGTAAAGTAGTGAAGGAATCTTTTTCAGATCTCATATGTAGGTTGCTCTTGGTCCTTAAATGTTCCCATTTGATTGAGGGACTAATCAGAATTGTAAAATGTCTTGACAGAGAACCATCTTGAATTTGAAAGTTTAAAGATTTTCATCTCTATAGAAAAAGAAGTTTTCAAATTTCATCATACAATAATTTATAGCAAGAACTGTGAACAAGAGAAAAGAAGGAAAAAGAACCAACTTCTAAACAAAAAGTAAAGATTGTATGATGGTTAGTGTCAAAATCCCCAAGACAGCTCTTATGTATTCATCCTCGCTTTCTTTTTTTGTCACATTAATTTGTTTCATTTTCCACAGATAACGCCTGGTCAGTGACAGATGGAGCACCTTTGGTAGTCATCCCCATCATATAGTGGGATGGCTTACCGTCGACATCGACATCAAAACAGGCATACTTACGACAGCAACACTGATAGTGACACCGACTATTACTCCGAGACGGACGACAGGAAGAAAACCTGTATTAAACGTACCAGGTAAACAATTTCTTAAGGGAATTTTACGCAAGTGGGTACATTCCATTTGATAAATGAACAAGTTTCTTAACTTCTGACATGATGAGTCTTTAGACAAATGTCTTAAGTTGTAAGTTCATAACATGTGTAAATACCAACAGTTATTATTGTGAGGATGGCTGATAGCCATTGTGTTTCATCTATCATCATGCATCCTAATCTTTACACATATATAACTTCTCCAGTTCCACAAATGGAATTCAGTTGAAACTTGTCAGGAATGCTTCTGGGTCTAACATAGTCTTCTTATTCCAAAATCCAAGATGGCCACAATCTTAAAACAAGCATTTTAAACTTTTTTGGAATTTAGCAAAAAATTTGAAAAGAGGGATGGGTGGGGGTTAAGAAAAGGAAACAGAAAAGTGGTTCTTATTTCCAAAATAGTGATTGTGTTTTTTAGATAACACTTGTTTCAGTGTCGCCAACTCATTTAATTTTGTCAGGTCAACCTATTATTGGTCATTGGATGACAACCTGCTAAAATTGTGAAAAATACCAGAATGACTTGATATTTTCTGACTTCTGAGCAATTTTGAAAAAAGAATTTTGATATAATTTGGGAAAACTTATGTTCAAAAATATCAAAGATCATCATCTGAACACAAATGAGATAAATATACAATATAATTGATTATATCAAAATTGTTTTAATCATTTACTAATTGTTAACACTACCACTACTGCTGTTAAATCAGTTATATGTCTTTGTAGGCAGATGGCTGTTAATTGATGGGTTTCTTATTATATTATTCTGTTAGTAAACATTTATCAGCTCACTTGCATGAAAGGGAAGTAAGCTTGTGAAGTGATGCAGCATCCATTGTCTGTTTGTTTTCCAACATCAACTTTTCCCTTTAAATAGTTTCCTCTCAATAAAAAAAATAGACACAGGGTATTGATATTTTGCTTGTAGCATACTGGGATAAAAGACTTTCAAGCTGTTCACATAAATCACCTTGACCCAATTTGGAGATTTCAGCTATCGAATGTGATACAATCTTCATGCAACTTCTAAATAACCATCAAGTGTAAGGTTATTATATTGGGCTTCTAGCATCCAGAAATAAAGGACTACACTGTTTATTCAGATGAATGACCCACCTTCAAGATCACAGGTCAAATTTCTTGTTTAATCAACATTTTTTTCAATAACAAAGAGACCAAGGATTATAATATTGCTACATTAGTATGCAGGAATGAAGAGCTACTGTGTTTGTTCAAATGATTGACCTTAACCTTCTTGCAGGTCACAGGGATGAAAGGTCTTTAGATATAGTTATACAACTTCTTTTTAATAACCAATAGGCCCTGGATCATGGTATTTGTGAAGTAGCATGCCTAGGAAGTTGGTTTTCATGTTTGCAGAAATTGGTTGACAAACTGACAGCCTTATGAGCTATGCAACATCAGTGTGATTCAGGTCCATTTGGCTTCTTGTTAATACTTTAATGTTTGGCTGTTTTTCAGCTCTCTTGGGGCCCCAAAATCTAAACCATGCCTTGTTAACCGTGCCAGAACTCTTAGTTTGGAGAATACCAGTAGTAACGAGGACGGAGACATACACCACTTGAGTACAGGTGATGAAGAATTTGTCATGACAAGTCGGCCATCTCTCCCCGCTAACAATGTTGGTGCTAGGCATCGTGTGTATCAAGGTGTGGCATGCCATACCCAGCCTGCCAGACAGGTCAGCTATTTCCAGTCTTACAGAAATGACCCCTCCAACTTCTCCTTCCCACCGGATCTTAGTGAGGCCCAGGGAGCTGGTATGATGAATCCAGGAAACAATAGCCCGCGTGTTTCAGGGGAAAGACTGACATTAGTTGTGGATGAGACTCGCTTTGTTGTGGACCCAGAGATACTACGGAAACATCCCAACACTATGTTAGGAAGGTAATATAAGTGTGTGTAACATCAGTGTATCTTTCTGAAGGTAATAAATGTGTGTGTAACATCAGTGTATCTTTCTGAAGGTAATAAATGTGTGTGTAACATCATTGTATCTGTATGAAGTAGTATAAGTGTGTGTAACATCAGTGTATCTTTAGGAAGGTAATATAAGTGTGTGTAACATCAGTGTATCTTTAGGAAGGTAATATAAGTGTGTGTAACATCAGTGTATCTTTAGAAAGGTAATATAAGTGTGTGTAACATCAGTGTATCTTTAGGAAGGTAATATAAGTGTGTGTAACATCAGTGTATCTTTAGAAAGGTAATATAAGTGTGTGTAACATCAGTGTATCTTTAGGAAGGTAATATAAGTGTGTGTAACATCAGTGTATCTTTAGGAAGGTAATATAAGTGTGTGTAACATCAGTGTATCTTTAGGAAGGTAATATAAGTGTGTGTAACATCAGTGTATCTTTAGAAATGTAATATAAGTGTGTGTAACATCAGTGTATCTTTAGGAAGGTAATATAAGTGTGTATAAATAAAACAAGTCAACAAGTCTTCCTACTGATTCTCCAACCTAAAGTTTCATACCCATATACCCTTACCAAGCAAATATATATGAAAAATTTTAACAAATGTTATTAGATCACATGAGACCCAAGATTTACATAAAACAGTTGACAATGTTACAGTAGTATTGTAGTAGTAAATAAATTGTTAACTCCTTATGTAGTTATGCAAGGTAAAAAAAGATTTTTTTTTATTTTCAGAATGTTATAAGTGTGTGTAACATCAGTGTATCGTCCAAATGAGAGAGGTAATATAAGTGTGTGTAATCTGCAGTGTATCTTTAGAAATGTAACAATAAGTGTGTGTCTTCCGTGTATCTTTAGGAAGGTACCAAACAATAAGTGTGTGTCTTCTGTATCTTTAGGAAGGTAACAAAACCTGCTACTGTCTTCTGTTCTATTCTGGTAAGGTACCAAACAATACCAGCTACTGTCTTCTGTTCTATTCTGGTAAGATAACAAACACTAACTGCTACTGTCTTCTGTTCTATTCGGGTAAGATAGCAAACAATACCTGCTACTGTCTTTCATTTTCTGGTAAGATAACAAACAATACCAGCTACTGTCTTCTGTTCTATTCTGGTAAGATAACAAACACTAACTGCTACTGTCTTCTGTTCTGTTCTTGTAAGATAGCAAACAATACCTGCTACTGTCTTTCATTTTCTGGTAAGATAACAAACAATACCAGCTACTGTCTTCTGTTCTATTCTTGTAAGATAACAAACAATACCAGCTACTGTTTTCTGTTCTATTCTGGTAAGATAACAAACAATACCAGCTACTGTCTTCTGTTCTATTCTTGTAAGATAACAAACAATACCAGCTACTGTCTTCTGTTCTATTCTTGTAAGATAACAAACAATACCAGCTACTGTCTTCTGTTCTATTCTTGTAAGATAACAAACAATACCAGCTACTGTCTTCTGTTCTATTCTTGTAAGATAACAAACAATACCTGCTACTGTCTTCCGTTCTATTCTGGTAAGATACCAAACAATACCTGCTACTGTCTTCTGTTCTATTCTGGTAAGGTACCAAACAAAACCTGCTACTGTCTTCTGTTCTATTCTGGTAAGGTACCAAACAAAACCTGCTACTGTTTTCTGTTCTATTCTGGTAAGGTACCAAACAATACCTGCTACTGTCTTTCGTTCTATTCTGGTAAGATAACAAACCATACCTGCTACTGTCCAATAATTCATGGCTTTGATTTAGTGACCAATAATTCATGGCTTTGATTTAGTGACCAATAATTCATGGCTATGATTTAGTGACCAATAATTCATGGCTATGATTTAGTGACCAATAATTCATGGCTATAATTTAGTGACCTTGTGACCAATAATTCATGGCAATGATTTAGTGACCAATAATTCAAGGCTATGATTTAGTGACCAATAATTCATGGCTATGATTTAGTGACCAATAATTCACGGCTATGATTTAGTGACCAATAATTCATGGCTATAATTTAGTGACCTTGTGACCAATAATTCATGGCAATGATTTAGTGACCAATAATTCATGGCTATAATTTAGTGACCTTGTGACCAATAATTCATGGCAATGATTTAGTGACCAATAATTCATGGCTATGATTTAGTGACCAGTAATTCATGGCTCCATCTCTACCCTGTCCCCTTCTCTCACTATCTACAACACCAGAACAGCCGACATCATCTCTGTCCCAGTCCCCTTCCCAAGCTCTCTACAACACCAGAACAGTTGACTCCATCTCTACCCCGTCCCCTTCTCTCACTATCTACAACACCAGAACAGTCGATCTATCTCTACCCCAGTCCCCTTCTCTCACTATCTGTTCTATTCTGGTAAGATAACAAACCATACCAGCTACTGTCCAATAATTCATGGCTATGATTTAGTGACCTAGTGACCAATAATTCATGGCTATAATTTAGTGACCTAGTGACCAATAATTCATGGCTATGATTTAGTGACCAATAATTCATGGCTATAATTTAGTGACCAATAATTCACGGCTATGATTTAGTCACCAATAATTCATGGCTATAATTTAGTGACCTAGTGACCAATAATTCATGGCTATGATTTAGTGACCAATAATTCATGGCTATAATTTAGTGACCAATAATTCACGGCTATGATTTAGTGACCAATAATTCAAGGCTATGATTTAGTGACCAATAATTCATGGCTATGATTTAGTGACCAATAATTCATGGCTATAATTTAGTGACCTAGTGACCAATAATTCATGGCTATAATTTAGTGACCAATAATTCATGGCTATGATTTAGTGACCAATAATTCATGGCTATAATTTAGTGACCAATAATTCACGGCTATGATTTAGTGACCAATAATTCATGGCTATGATTTAGTGACCAATAATTCATGGCTATAATTTAGTGACCTAGTGACCAATAATTCATGGCTATAATTTAGTGATTTAGTGACCAATAATTCATGGCTATAATTTAGTGACCTAGTGACCAATAATTCATGGCTATAATTTAGTGACCTAGTGACCAATAATTCATGGCTATGATTTAGTGACCAATAATTCACGGCTATGATTTAGTCACCAATAATTCATGGCTATGATTTAGTCACCAATAATTCATGGCTATGATTTAGTCACCAATAATTCATGGCTATGATTTAGTCACCAATAATTCATGGCTATGATTTAGTGACCAATAATTCACGGCTATGATTTAGTCACCAATAATTTATGGTCATGAAAATAAGCAATATCTTGACAACAAGCCCTATCCAGTAGGTCTTTAACATTAGATCTTATTATCACTATTTCTTAGGAAGTACTGGATAACTTATCAAATTTCATTGGAGGATTCCCTTTGAAATTTCATTGGATGATTCCCATTTTGACTTTTGGACTGATTATTTCTGTCATAGTATATAAGCTGTCGTAACTAAACTTGTAATATACTTTCAGGAGTACTACAAAACTGGCTGTATCAGATGTCCCCCCAGTGTTACAGTTCAGGATCTGCGAGAAGCATGTGATTATCTCCTGATTCCATTTGAGCCAGGAACAATAAAATGTCAAAATCTGCGTAAGTCATGTTTTGCAATATTTCAATCAGAATTCTGGGTTTTTTTTATAGATTTTGTCTAGGGTTTGCTTTGATAACTATTGAAATAAACTTTATTTATTATACAACAATTGCAAAACAAGCTTTAAGCTTATATCAATCACTCTTGGATTTTATTGCGAGAGGAAACTGGAGTACCCGGGCAAAAACCCAGGTGGTCGGGCAGTTGACCCAAACCTTTCCACATCCATTCCAGGAATCGAATCCTGGACAGCTGGGTGAGGGCGAGTGCATTTCCATTGCACCACCCGACCACCCTTAAGTATTTGGTACACATACAGTATAAACTTGATATACTGCCACATTCCTTATGAGATTTTGGTCTACATGTTTGGTTGTATGAGTTTTCAAAGTGAAATGTCATTTGGTCAATGTTTGTGTACTACATTTGGTACTTTATCGATGAAATGCCTCTAACTACAAAGATTTACCCTACATGCCACATTTATTGCTCCCATTTATGACGGAAAAGGATGGTAGATATTTTGTCATTGATTACACCACTCCAAAATCCATTGAATGCCTCCTCCACCTGTCCAGATGTAGGTGGGGGGTTGCCACTGGGATAGTGAACATTATACTGACACTTGCCTGTGTTAATGATATATAGCACTTATTCACACTTCTAGATGATATTTCTTTTATTACAGGAGGGTTTCTACATGAACTTTCTAATGAAGGAGCTCGCCAGCAATTTGATATATTCCTTGAGGAGATGATTATGCCCCAGATGGTCCATTCTGCACAGGTATGTTATGGTAGTCCAATTAGAACGTTAAACGCTGAGACAGATATACTGTCTCTTTATCTTCAGCAACCTTTCACACTCATTTTCCTGCATGCATTATCACATCAAGCACTTTTTAGTGCCTTTTGTCAAAGTCTAAAGTGATGCATTGTGGTTGCTTTTTTGTCTGTTGTGGTTTGTCGTCTGTCACTTGTCCTTTGACATTTTAAACTTCTCCTCAGGAACCCCTGAATGAGATTTTACAAAATTTTGCAGAAACTTTATGGCCTATATTGAATTAAAGTTGTTAATTAATTATGGTTAGCTTAGTATGTGCTTAAAATGTGCAGTTTTTAAGGAAGTTATAGTTATCAAAAATATCATGCACACTTATACTGACGAAGAATGCATATTTGAGGAAATTCAGGCTCATATAGAGGTCAATACTTTTTGGCTTCCAATATTAAAGACAATTTATTGTACAATGTTTTCAGTGTGATTAAGAATTAAAACTGCTTTTGTATAGATACATATTAAATGTATTTGAATTTCATTTAAGCCATTGAAAACTTCAAAGATAACTTTGTAAAGTCACAGCTGGTGTTCCAAACACTGCAGACGTAAATCTAAACAACATTTCCATCGTAGAATTATAGCGCTTCATTATATAGTCAGTCATATAGATCTATTTTTAGAAGATTTACTTTCTGGAAATATATATATATATATTTGTTTTTAAATCACCAGTATATCATATGCAGGTACTCACAATAAGGAATATTAATGGTATGGGGTCTCCATCCCCAAATGACCTAATAGGCAGAGCTAACAGAGCTGTAATTGACTGAAATTGAGATATCTTATCAATGATATTTACAGACAGGAGATCGCGAATGCCACATTGTGATTTTAGTAGAGGATGATGTAGTGGACTGGGATGAGGAATACCCACCACAGATGGGCGAGGAATACACCCAAAGTAAGTACACACTAAATAGTCTGAAATACTTGCCACAGACGGTCAAGGAATACACCCAAAGTAAGTACACACTAAATAGTCTGGAATACTCACCACAGATGGGAGAGGAATTCACCCAAAGTAAGTACACACTAAATAGTCTGGAATACTCACCAGACGGGCAAGGAATACACCCAAAGTAAGTACACACTAAATAGTCTGCAATACACGTCACAGATGGGCGAGGAATACACCCTAAGTAAGTACATACTAAATAGTCTGGAATACCCCCCACAGACGGGCAAGGAAAACACTTAAAGTAGGTACACACTAAATAGCATTAACAAGCATTAATGAGCATTAATGAGCATTAATGTACTCATTTTTTGATAAAATCATTAGGTTGTCATCCTTAATGAATTGCGTTGGCTTAAAAGTTTAATGATTGTGAAAGACTTTTTAGCTGCTGCTGATTTCGGATAAATTTTGTAAAAAGTAAATTTTTATGACGTATTTCATATTTATTAGCATTTCTCATATATTTTTTTACATTACTTTAGCCTCATAGGTAAAAGTAAAAATATCATATTTTAATTGCTGTTGTTCCTATTTCAGTCATCTACAGCACATCCATGTACAGATTTTTCAAATATATAGAGAATAGAGATGTTGCAAAGCAAGTTCTGAAAGAACGAGGCTTGAAAAAGATACGGCTCGGTATAGAAGGTGAGTTATAATTAACTGTTTTGTTCCTGTTGCAACAGAAGGCATCATTATTGTTACAGAAATACACCCTGACATAGGACACGAATTTGAATATAGAGTTAATAAGAAACAGTTGATTAATTTGGAAATCATCATGTGTTACATGTTGGACATGTTTTGTCCGTATTGTCACAAAAATGAATGCTTAATTTATGTATGATTTCTGACCTTTATTATCGTTTGTCGTACTGCTTTTCAGGGTATCCTACCTACAAGGAGAAAGTTAGGAAGCGGCCAGGTGGAAGGCCAGAGGGTAAGTCTACAGACAAACTAAGGAGGACACTGCATGAAAATGGCAATGTCTTTTTGTTGTACACAAATATTATCTCCACTATATTATCTCTGCAAATGGAGCTAAAGAGAGATTCTCTCTAGTGCTAAGATAGAAGGCAAGCTTATCTGTTTATACAATTAAAACCTACCACACTCTTTCACATTTCTAATGTATTCCCAATCCAGTGCCTCATTATTTTGCTCTTTAACACCAACTGTAATAGGAGAAGAGTACTTTGCCTCCACTGGGAAATGAACCAGTGATCACTGACTTACTGGTTGGAGAAGAGTACTTTGTCTCCACTGGGAAATTGTCTCCACTGGGAAATGAACCAGTGATCACTGACTTACTGGTTGGAGAAGAGTGCTTTGTCTCCACTGGGAAATGAACCAGTGATCACTGACTTACTGGTTGGAGAAGAGTGCTTTGTCTCCACTGGGAAATGAACCAGTGATCACTGACTTACTGGTTGGAGAAGAGCACGTTGTCTCCACTGGGAAATGAACCAGTGATCACTTACTTACTGGTTGGAGAAGAGTACGTTGTCTCCACTGGGAAATGAACCAGTGATCACTGACTTACTGGTTGGAGAAGAGTGCTTTGTCTCCACTGGGAAATGAACCAGTGATCACTTACTTACTGGTTGGAGAAGAATACGTTGTCTCCACTGGGAAATGAACCAGTGATCACTTACTTAGTGGTTGGCCACTCTGCTGATAAATACATTCTTAATTTATTTCAAACACAGTTGCACATACTTATGATACTTTGTATACAGAATGCATTTGAACAAAACTTGTTTCTGTTACAGTGATATATAACTATGTACAGCGCCCATTCATCCGTATGTCTTGGGAGAAGGAGGAAGCTAGAAGTCGACATGTAGACTTTCAGTGTGTCAAAAGTAAATCAATCACTAACCTGGCTGCCGCTGCTGCAGACACGCTTCAAGACCAGGGCTTGGTACAACAACAGCACCTGCAGGATGGGAGCATTAACGTCATTCCTCCACAGCCCTCCCCCTCAGAACCCTACCCCGGGGTCCAAATCCCACCTGAGGGGGATGCAGAATAAAGACCCTGGGTACAAGATACAGGTTGATGGTCAGGGCTCGAGTGTGTTTGAGGACAAACTCTCACCCAACATCACTTGTTCTACAGCACTGGTGCACTGCTTTCACAGATACTTGCTCAATCTTATCAAAGGGACAAGAAAGAAATGAGGAGTTGATGCCTTTATAGCAGGCAAACATATGATGTAGTGATTAAGTATATAATCATGCTGTCAAGTATTGAATAATCAAAATCATAATTACCGTATTCCTTGCTATATGATAGAAATATGTATGTTAATTTGGTAGATTTTCAACACTTCACTATTTGCTATCATGTTGATGTAACTGAAAATATAGAGACACTCTGGTTTTGTATAATGACGTATCATTACACGCTTAGAAATCTAATCTTACTTGTGTAGCAGGGTATCGCAATATGAGTTAGTCTGGCCTAAGGCAGACATGGTTATTACTCACTGCTGTTTATATAAGGGTCTGTGATGGTAGTGACTTCAGTACTAAAGCTTTTTATTACTGGTGAAGATTTGTGTAACTGTAGAGATGAGAAATACTATGACTGTGACTTGTAGAAAGACATCTTCTAAAGGTACATAATCAGTGCTGTCCGAGTCATGCAGTATACTCCTACTGTGATGTATCCTGTAGTGTATATAGAGCTGGGTATTATGTCAATGTTTGTGTCTGAATCAACTAGGCACCCTACCAAACTTTACTTTTACCAGAATGATAGCTTTAAATATTGATCAATTTGTCAAACCTTGTATCAAATAATTGATGTTACTAAGGCATCATTCTAAAATGTGATGTTTAAAAAAGATGTTTGTGGTATGGACGTTCCCAGATTTTCAGTGGTATGTGCACTCACTGCTAAAAATATAACGAAACCATTGTTGTGTTCATTCATGGCCTAGATTGCTATAACCTCATCGTCTACACCATGTGTTGGGTGGCATTCTCAGAGGTCCAACATATGCTCTGTTTTGATAAATTTTTTGCTGACAGCATTATGAAATAATTTGTTTGAAAGGGAAATGTTGACAAGAAATAACAGACAGACAATGGATAGATGATAGACAGACAGACAATGGATGGAAGACAGACAATGGATAGATCACAGACACACAACAGATAGATCACAGACACACAATGGATGGATGATGGACAGACATTGGATAGATGACAGACAGACAATGGATAGATCACAGACACACAGTGGATGGATGACAGATAGACAATGGATGGATGACAGACAATGGTTGGATGACAGACAGACAATGGATGGATGACAGACAGATAATGGATGGATGGATGACACAGACAATGGATGGATGACAGACAGACAATGGATGGTTGACAGCCAGACAATGAGTAGATGACAAGGCATATAAGTTGAAGATTTTAACTGACTTGATACAATATTTATCTGTATTGCAGTTAACTCACTGGATAAAATGTTTATTTGGCTTGTTACCTGTCTGAAGCCAGGCTTATGTCTGTCATCCATCATTTTCATTCCTCCATTGTCTGTCTGTATGTCAACTTTTCCCATTTAATGACTTCTCACTAACCTAAAGGCCTAGGGTACTGATATAGACCTGTAGCATGCTTGGATGACGCCTTGCCAAAAATGAATGTTCTTGATCCACTTTCAATGTCACAAGGGTCATATGTCATGAAGTATTTACTTCTTTTCAATAACGAAAAGGCCCAGTATCATGTTATAGGGCCAATAATATGTTGGGATGAAGGGCTGCCAGATTTGTTTAAATTAATGACCTTGACCCACTTTCAATGTTTTTAACTTGAAACTTATTCTTGTCAATAACCATTGGGTTCTGGGTCATGGTATTTGTGTTGTAACATGGTTGGAAAATTGGCTTTCATGTTTGCAGAAAGAGAATTAATTGACAATTTTTTTTCTTAAGCTGCAGAACAGGTGAGCTACACGGGTCCATTATGCCTCTTATTTATCAATGAGGAAGGTAAACTATTTAATAGTTACCTGGTTTGTATTGGGAAGGCAACTGACTGGATACAGTATTTATCTGGTTTTTATAGGAGAGGCAACTGATGTGTGTGTGGTTTTGTATTAGGAAAGCAACTGACTGGATACAGTATTTATCTGGTTTGTATAGGGGAGGCAACTGATGTGTGTGGGGTTTGTATTGGGAAGGCAACTGACTGGATACAATATTTATCTGGTTTGTACAGGGGAGACAACTGATGTGTGTTGGGTTTAGTATTGGGAAGGCAACTGACTGGATACAATATTTATCTGGTTTGTATAGGAGATGCAACTGATGTGTGTGGGGTTTGTATTGGGAAGGCAACTGACTGGATACAGTATTTATCTGGTTTGTTCAGGGGAGACAACTGAAGTGTGTGGGGTTTTGTATTGGGAAGGCAACTGACTGGATACAGTATTTATCTGGTTTGTATAGGGGAGGCAACTGATGTGTGTGGGGTTTTGTATTGGGAAGGCAACTGACTGGATACAATATTTATCTGGTTTGTTCAGGGGAGACAACTGAAGTGTGTGGGGTTTAGTATTGGGAAGGCAACTGACTGGATACAGTATTTATCTGGTTTGTATAGGGGAGACAACTGATGTGTGTGGAGTTTTGTATTAGGAAGGCAACTGACTGGATACAGTATTTATCTGGTTTGTATAGGGGAGACAACTGATGTGTGTGGAGTTTTGTATTAGGAAGGCAACTGACTGGATACAGTATTTATCTGGTTTGTATAGGGGAGACAACTGATGTGTGTGGAGTTTTGTATTAGGAAGGCAACTGACTGGATACAGTATTTATCTGGTTTGTATAGGGGAGACAACTGATGTGTGTGGAGTTTTGTATTGGGAAGGCAATGGACCAGATACAATGGTTACTTGGTTTGTATTGAATATTGTAAACTACGTTTCCAATGATAACTAGGACTGTTATGTATATATTGGTTAGAAGCATTTATCAAAAAAGATTTAAAACTGAAAATGGCTGTGAGTTTTATATATCATTTCTATAGCATCTCTTGAAACCCAAGGGAATGTCCAAAGTGATTTCAATTAAAACATACTGTTTATTACACATTTTGATTTTAATTCCATCAATATTGTAAAGATAAGATATTTTAATGCATTAAAAATATTAAACTTCTTTCTTGACTTTTGCTGTGGTAAATGTTACATATGTATTCATTTGCCTTCTTTTTCAATCAATAACCATACATGTTTATATTTCATAATTTTTCGTATTTCAATATTGTTTGAAACATATTTATATAGTTTTTTTGAAGTACCGTATATGTAAGTTTTGAGAAATCCATTACAATGTCATATACTTTATAGTATCAGTTTGTCTACTTTTCTAAAAAAAACTGTCTTAGGCCAATGAAAATCTACAGTTGAAATTTGCAAAATTAAGTCAGTTTGACCTAAATTGCAAAAACAACAGTGGCCAGAATGCAACAAAAATAAGAGGAACAAGAGATGCTGAACTAGAATTTTGGTCACCTCCTTTAATTAAAAAACAAAATTTAGTATAGGACAATGAAAATTGGCCTGTGCGATGAACCATGAATGATGAACTTTTATTTTCATAAAACAGGTCAGTGTTACATACTAATTAAACAAAATTGTCATATAACCATGAAAATTGAGGTTTTGGATGACCAATAGATGCTGATTATAAATTTTACAAAAAATAAATCCCTATGACCTTTCTCAAAATGACCCAATGATGTGAAATATGAATGTAGAAAGGAATGTGTATCATTGATTGAATATTTATTAACTGATCCATAATGCCACAAGGACCTGGTAACACAGCAAATCACATTTACTATCTCAAACTGGTAGATATTGAAATGCCCTTGAATTTAGGTTGATCAGATCTGTATGCATCTTGTTGAAAGGTCTGAAGTGTGTAGTTTGATGCTTATTGCTGGTGGCAGTTTGTGTTTGTCAGAGAGCTGAGAAGCAGACCAGTCTGTTCTGACAGGGTATGACAGGGTATGTAGTCAAGATCTGACAAGGTATGTTGTCCAGATCTGTCAGGGTGTGTTGTCCAGATCTAGGGTGTGTTGACCACATCACACACGGTATGTTGTCCAGATCAGACAGGGTATGTTGTCCAGATCTGTCATGGTGTGTTGACCACATCACACATGGTATGTTGTCCAGATCTGACAGGGTATGTTGTCCAGATCTAGGGTGTGTTGACCACATCACACATGGTATGTTGTCCAGATCTGTCAAGGTGTGTTGTCCAGATCTGTTAGGGTGTGTTGACCACATCACACACAGTATGTTGTCCAGATCTGACAGGGTTTTTTCTCCAGATTTTACAGGGTGTGTTTTCTAGTGAGTCAGCCACTAGCTATTATATTATCCTACCTCTATATGGCCGTGGCTGTTCATGTGGTGAGCAACGCAACAAATTTGGGTACGAAATTAACGTAACTCTAAATGCAAGCTTTTTTCTTCTCAGTGCCATCAACATTGACAATTGTGGTAAAGGAATGTGGCAGTTTGAACTTCACTTTTATCATATTTGTCAATAAACAAGTATAAAGTGCTTTACTTGGGGTCAGAATAACGTTGTAACACAGTAGCTTGGTGATAGCTACACTCTGTGATGACCTGATTTAGCAGTGTGATGTACTGTTTATAACACATATCCATTGTTTTATGATGAGAAGACAACACTTTTTTGTATTGCCTAATTGTTTGTCTGCTAGAAAACAGATTATATGAGAATTTGCAATTGTTAAGCAGGATATTATCTGTTAAATGAAATATATTTGTCAGTTTATTTGTCATCAATATTTTGTATTTTGAAGATACCTAGTATCATGTATGGTCCAGCTCTGTCTGTTGTGACGTTATGTAGAAACCACCAGGCTTTAAGTCATTGTAACAGTTTCTTTCAGTGACTAGGACGGCTTGCAGGTTGTGTCATATGTTTGTAAAAGAAGGAAATTTCTGACTGTTGATTAATCAGTACTATGTGTATATTATGAAATGAATCAATTATCTTTTACATTTCCTACACAGTATAATTGATGTACAAATAGATTGATAGATAATGTTTATTTGCTACATAGTCCAGAATTAAACTCTGAGAAAGACCCCCTGATTAAATACATTTCTTCTGGGTTTGATTTTGAATGACATTTTGATTTTTTTAACCTTCATCAAAGAAAACGTTTTGTCTTGGCTCTCCTACTCATTTTGTCACAGAAACTTCCAACCTTGGGTATGGGTTCACCTGCATTGCATTCCTAGAATATTATTTTGCATATAGTTTGGGACTGAAATGCACTTAATTGTCTTGTTTGAAAAGACATGTATTGAACAATGTAAAGATATAACATAGTATGTATCTGTGATTTCATTATATAACATAATTTTAGCGCAGACTTCTCCTTGAGAGTATATTAGGGACTGTTATCTCAAAAGAAAATTTATTCTTCGTTACACTCTCTGTTCTCTATGATGCTATTTAGAGTATCACGATATTACCCAGCTTGATGCATTTGAACCAAAAAATGTTGTTTATGTAATTATTTAGAAATCAGTATTAATCACGTTTAGTGTAGACCACTTTAATTGATAATATTCATATCAGTACTACCAAATCTTTCTTCCTTTAAGTGGTATTTTAGAGTTGAAATACAACAGCCCCTTCACAATCTGATCATTGGAAGTACATACATGACCTTTTCAACCTGTGTCACTGTCCCACTCAAATCCAAAATTGAATTGTTATTATCCTAAATTTTCTATGAACTACTATGTTTTGAAGTCTATTAGTATACATTGCTAGCAACTCATCCCTCTTATATAAATCTGTAATTGTAGGTTTAAGATTGATGAATATTGACTTTAGAATATGAAATTATTCAACAACATTTTGAAGTTGCTGTTGCCAGTTAGTTTGGCAGTCATTGATTACACTTGTTAGTCTGTGATATTGTGTACCATATTTTCCACGTTATAAGTTGCATGCCCAACTTAAAGAAGTCGCAGCTTAGAATCTGAAAAATAAGGTTAATTACTGATACTCATCATTTACTTAATATCTCTGGAGAGTTTTCACATTTTGATTTTGGAAACTAAATACATCATGTTCTTTTGAAAAAGAATAATCACATGTCTTTACCAAGCGTTATGAAAAAACCAAGATATATTCCATGTTTGTAATTATGGAATTTGATTGTCATTGAAAAATAAATTTGTACGGATTGGGAAATTACAATACCTGTGGAAACTAGCAGGATGAAGCCTATAGTGTGTCATTAATTATCTTGTACATTTTGAATGTTAATTGTTTCCTTTCAAAGAGAGAATGAAATACTATGATAATGGATAAGTCTTAGACATTGGATCGTCAATATGACTGTCGCACAACCTGGCTGCCTTGTGTTCAGTTGTGTTAATTTAGGATGCTGTGTATCAGCACATTTCTATCACATCGCTTGGTCTAAGATTTTATACTTTGTTGCATTATGTTGTAAGGATTATATTGTAAGGGTTTTTAAGTCCTTTTCTGATGAAAACATCAATAAATATCATTTTGATAAAAGCAAGAGTTTTAAGTTGTCTGTGAATAGTCTGAAATCAGCAGATCATTTAATTTGAATTTCTAATCTGTTTTCTGCTGTAGGCTATCCATCACTCTGCCCTGATGGTTTATAATTAAGAATTGATGTTAACTGGCCTAGTATGCAGAGATGAAAAGTTATTAGGTCATTGATCTTGACCCACTTTCAAATTAAATGGTCAGATATCTTCAAAATTTCAAATGACTTACGAAGAATGTTCAATAAACTTTTACATGACCAAATATATTTTGTTGGTTAGGCATGGGTAAGAATCAATTTCTAGCCCACCATCATCAGCTTTTTAAATAGCTCTATGTCCATGGTCCGTCGTCCCTCCGTGTACAACTTTTGTTGTCACTATTTTTGTTGTCAAATTTCATATCTAGGTTCCCTATGGTGCTTAGTTGCTTACGTTTTATTTTGGGACTGATGAGAAAAAACAAAATGGCTTGCAGATGGCCATCTTCGATTTTGACTTTCCAAGTTTGTTATCGCTAAATCTTGAGAAGTACTCAATGAATAACTCAAATTTTTCATATTCATAAATATCCTGTAACATGCCTGGGTGGAAGGCCTTTTGCTCAAACGTAAGATCTTTAACTATTCTCAAGGTTAAAGAACTCTTGACAACTTAATAATCTAAAAACTGTGGGTCATTATTAGAACTTGTGTGCATCATCTGTTTAATATAAAACAGTACTGTAGATAATATAAAACTGTACTGTAGATAATATCAACTGTACTGTATATAATATAAAACTGTACTGTAGATAATATATACTGTACTGTAGATAATATAAAACTGTACTGTAGATAATATAGACTGTACTGTAGATAATATAAAACTGTACTGTAGATAATATAGACTGTACTGTAGATAATATAAAACTGTACTGTAGATAATATAAAACTGTACTGTAGATAATATAAAACTGTGTACTGTACTGTAGATAATATAAACTGTACTGTAGATAATATAAACTGTACTGTATATAATAATATAAACTGTACTGTAGATAATATAATATAGATAATATAAACTGTACTGTAGATAATATAAACTGTACTGATAATATATAACTGTACTGTAGATAATATAAACTGTACTGTAGATAATATAAACTGTACTGTAGATAATATAAACTGTACTGTATATAATATGTAATATAAACTGTACTGTAGATAATATAATATAAAACTGTACTGTAGATAATATAAACTGTACTGTAGATAATATAAACTGTACTGTAGATAATATAAACTGTACTGTAGATAATATATAACTGTACTGTAGATAATATAAACTGTACTGTAGATAATATAAACTGTACTGTAGATAATATAAACTGTACTGTAGATAATATAAAACTGTACTGTAGATAATATAAACTGTACTGTAGATAATAAAAACTGTACTGTATATAATATAAAACTGTACTGTAGATAATATAAACTGTACTGTAGATAATATAAACTGTACTGATAATATACTGTATAATATAAAACTGTACTGTAGATAATATAAACTGTACTGTAGATAATATAAACTGTACTGATAATATACTGTATAGATAATATAAACTGTACTGTAGATAATATAAACTGTACTGTAGATAATATAAAACTGTACTGTAGATAATATAAAACTGTACTGTAATATATAAACTGTACTGTAGATAATATAAAACTGTAATATGTAGATAATATAAACTGTACTGTAGATAATATAAACTGTACTGTAGATAATATAAAACTGTACTGTAGATAATATAAACTGTACTGTATATAATATAAACTGTACTGTAGATAATATAGACTGTACTGTAGATAATATAAACTGTACTGTAGATAATATAGACTGTACTGTAGATAATATAGACTGTACTGTAGATAATATAAACTGTACTGTAGATAATATAAACTGTACTGTAGATAATATAAACTGTACTGTAGATAATATAAAACTGTACTGTAGATAATATAAACTGTACTGTAGTATAATATATAAAACTGTACTGTAGATAATATAAACTGTACTGTAGATAATATAAACTGTACTGTAGATAATATAAACTGTACTGTAGATAATATAAACTGTACTGTAGATAATATAAACTGTACTGTAGATAATATAAACTGTACTGTAGATATATATAAACTGTACTGTAGATAATATAAACTGTACTGATAATATAGATAATATAAACTGTACTGTAGATAATATAAACTGTACTGTACTGTATAATATATAAACTGTACTGTAATATAATATACTGTAGAAACTGTACTGTAGATAATATATAAACTGTACTGTAGATAATATAAACTGTACTGTAGATAATATAAACTGTACTGTAGATAATATCAACGGTACGTAGATAATATAAACTGTACTGTAGATAATATAAAACTGTACTGTAGATAATATAAACTGTACTGTAGATAATATGGACTGTACTGTAGATAATATAAAACTGTACTGTAGATAATATAAAACTGTACTGTAGATAATATAAACTGTACTGTGATAATAAAAACTGTATATAATATAAAAACTGATAATATACTGTACTAGATAATATAAAACTGTACTGTAGATAATATAAACTGTACTGTATATAATATAAACTGTACTGTATATAATATAAAACTGTACTGTAGATAATATAAACTGTACTGTAGATAATATAAACTGTACTGTAGATAATATAAAACTGTACTGTAGATAATATAAACTGTACTGTAGATAATATAAACTGTATAATAATATAAACTGTACTGTAGATAATATAAACTGTACTGTAGATAATATAAAACTGTACTGTAGATAATATAAACTGTACTGTAGATAATATAAACTGTACTGTAGATAATATAAACTGTACTGTAGATAATATAAACTGTACTGTAGATAATATAAAACTATACTGTAGATAATATAGACTGTACTGTAGATAATATAAAACTGTACTGTAGATAATATAGACTGTACTGTAGATAATATAAACTGTACTGTAGATAATATAAAACTGTACTGTAGATAATATAAAACTGTACTGATAATATAGATAATAATATAAACTGTACTGTAGATAATATAAAACTGATAATATACTGTACTGATAATATAAAACTGTACTGTAGATAATATAAAACTGTACTGTAGATAATATAAACTGTACTGTATATAATATAAAACTGTACTGTAGATAATATAAAACTGTACTGTAGATAATATAAAACTGTACTGTAGATAATATAAACTGTACTGTAGATAATATAAACTGTACTGTAGATAATATAAACTGTACTGATAATAAAACTGTACTGTAGATAATATAAACTGTACTGTAGATAATATAAACTGTACTGTAGATAATATAAAACTGTACTGTAGATAATATAAACTGTACTGTAGATAATATAAAACTGTACTGTAGATAATATAAACTGTACTGTAGATAATATAAACTGTACTGTAGATAATATAAACTGTACTGTAGATAATATAAACTGTACTGTAGATAATATAAATATAATACTGTACTGTAGATAATATAAACTGTACTGTAGATAATATAAATATAACTGTACTGTAGATAATATAAACTGTACTGTAGATAATATAAAACTGTACTGTAGATAATATAAACTGTACTGTAGATAATATAAAACTGTACTGTAGATAATATAAACTGTACTGTAGATAATATAAACTGTACTGTAGATAATATAAACTGTACTGTAGATAATATAAAACTGTACTGTAGATAATAAAACTGTACTGTAGATAATATAAACGGTACTGTAGATAATATAAAACTGTACTGTAGATAATATAAACTGTACTGTAGATAATATAAACTGTACTGATAATATACTGTACTGTAGATAATATAAAACTGTACTGTGTAGATAATATAAACTGTACTGATAATATACTGTACTGTAGATAATATAAACTGTACTGTACTGTAGATAATATAAACTGTACTGTAGATAATATATATATAACTGTACTGTAGATAATATAAACTGTACTGTAGATAATATAAAACTGTACTGTAGATAATATAAACTGTACTGTAGATAATATAAACTGTACTGTAGATAATATAAACTGTACTGTAGATAATATAAACTGTACTGTAGATATAATATAAAACTGTACTGATATATAATATAAACTGTACTGTATATAATATAAAACTGTACTGTAGATAATATAAAACTGTACTGATAATATAGACTGTACTGTAGATAATATAAACTGTACTGTAGATAATATAAACTGTACTGATAATATACTGTATAATATAAACTGTACTGTAGATAATATAATATAGATAATATAAAACTGTACTGTAGATAATATAAACTGTACTGTAGATAATATAAACTGTACTGATAATATAAAACTGTACTGTAGATAATATAAACTGTACTGTAGATAATATAAAACTGTACTGTAGATAATATAAACTGTACTGTAGATAATATAAACTGTACTGTAGATAATAAAAAACTGTACTGTAGATAATATAAACTGTACTGTAGATAATACAAACTGTACTGTAGATAATATAAAACTGTACTGTATATAATATAAAACTGTACTGTAGATAATATAAAACTGTACTGTAGATAATATAGACTGTACTGTAGATAATATAAACTGTACTGTACTGTAGATAATATAAACTGTACTGTAGATAATATAAACTGTACTGTAGATAATATAAACTGTACTGTAGATAATATAAACTGTACTGTAGATAATATAAACTGTACTGTAGATAATATCAACTGTACTGTAGATAATATATACTGTACTGTAGATAATATAAACTGTACTGTAGATAATATAAAAACTGTACTGTAGATAATATAAACTGTACTGTAGATAATATAAACTGTACTGATAATATACTGTATAATATAAAACTGTACTGTAGATAATATACTGTAGATAATATAAACTGTAC